CCACCCATCTCGGACCCTTTGCCCCTGCTTTGGGCTCCTGTGTGACACAGAGCTTGAAATCCCACAGCGCGGGCTTTGGAGAGGGGCCAGAGAAAGGAGCCACCCCGCTCCGGGCTTCTCTTGTCTCTTGGGTTCAAGCACTTACCACGTTAAAACCAACCTGGTTTTCTGCTGGAACCTATATTAAGGCAGCCGTGACAAACCTGCTGCTCCATTTCCCAATCGGATGCAGTTGTGCTTATGTCCTCCATTTCCCAATCGGATACCACTACCACACAGGCAGCCAGTTCCTCTCCCTTTGCCACCGGTCCCCACTGGTAACCCCAAAAGCACCATGTGAGGTGCTCAGGACCACCACGTCCCACCAGAGCGTTCCCCGGGTGAGGCTGGAGCAGCACCACTCACCAACATTCATGCCCAGGTTCACGCGGAGGTCCACATCCTCCGCCCATGCGTCGTGGGCTGGTTCTTTGCACAGGACCGGGAAGATGCCCCGGTAGAGGTGGGCCTGGCGCGCCGTCTGGTCATTACGGGTCACAGCGATGATGGGAGCCCGCGGGCGGTACCGGGACACCAGGTGTGCTGACCTAGAAGGAAACCAGACACGAGGTGAAGCACCACGTTACAGGCACAGCCGCCCGAGAGCAAGCTCGAGGAAGCTTGTGGGCAGCCAGAGGGGCACCTCCACTCGTAGCACAAGCGGCAGCGAGGTTCGCCTGTCACCCTGGAGGCCTCCGCAAAAGCCCTGGAGGGACATCGAGGACGACCACGGGAGATGCTGGCAAGAGCCAAGCTCACCAACGAGCTTGAAGCTCTGCTGAATTCCCAGTTAGGCAACTGGGCGGACCGCCACCAAAGGCCGTCCCTTGGCGACAGTCCCTACTCCAGTCTTGCGGTGAAAATCACCTCGCCTCCGAGTTTAGGAAGTGCCATCTGCGTGTTTTGGTCCCGAAAACAAGCCTTTATTTGTCTCTGTTGCTATGTTAAGGTGGCGAGGTGCCATTTATTCTGGCCTCTGCAAGCAGTCCTCGGCATCTCAGTGGGAGTCCCTGCAAGCTCCCTCTGTTTTGAGGAGCTCCCGATTTATGGGATGGAAAGAGCCCAGGCCAGCAGCGCTACCCAAAGCTTGCCAAGGAGGAAGCCATTTGCCTCCCAGCCACGTTCACCTGCTAAAGCCAGCAAACAGGCCAGTTCCTCTGCACAGAGCTCTGCTCTCGCGCCCAACAGGAAGCAAATGCAACTGAGGCCAAAATTTATACCGGGAAGTTGGGCACAGAATCCTTAAAATGCCTTAACACAGCAAGCAGCACACACTGGGTGGGGACTAGAGCTTCCCCTTCCCTGGGCACTGCTTACAGAGTGCATCTGCAAATAAATGGAGATTAAAACTGCAAGGCCATGACATTTATAGCTCCATGAGCATGCCAGTATCTCCACTAGCTTTTGCAGCCTTGTTTAGTGGAGTCAAGCTCAGCAATACTCAAAGATCGCTGCTTAAAGTAGGCAGTAGCAGTCTGCTCAAAGCACCGAAACACACATGCCAGCTCTCAGACAATCCTTCCCACGCTGTCCAAGAAGCCTCCTGGTAGCTCTAGGAGACCCAGGTACTCAAAGGCTGTAACAGAATCCACAGCTAAAAATATTCAAATATCAGAGTTCAAATCTCTTTAAAAAGGTCAAGTGTAAGACTGGAACCTTTTACAAAGAAACATTAGAAGCACGAGGGTATCCAGAAACTCAGTGCTTATAGTCACTCCTCATCTCTGCAGAAAGTGGCTGCTTCAAATCATTTTAAGCTGTAAATTTGGGTGAAGGATTCACCGATGGTCCAGTTCTTCAGGCAGACCATACCCAGCGCATATAATCACATCTCTGCTGCTGCACTATTTCTTTGGTCCGAGTCCAGTGCAAGAAATTCAGATTCTCTTCCAGAAAGTAGTCTGAGACTTATGGTTGGACACGCTTTGAGGGTGGGCAGCCTAGTTCCTCTAGATGAAAAAGCTGATCAGCAAGGCTTCAGCTTCCTCTCCGCAACTGGAAGAGTGTCTCTACACAGTGGTTGTCACCGTCACTGGACGGAAATCCCAAACTATATAGTTCCAGCGCGTCTGCATTGCTGTCTCTCACCTGCAGCCAAGGCACTGAGCTCACCTGAGAATGCAGGCAGCACTTGGCTGCTGGGTGCCTGCCAGATGCCTGCCTGTTCGGTGAGATTACTTGCAGGCAGGCATACGGAAGCCCGTAAGAGGAAGTTTCCAACGCTTTCAGTTTCCCTGCCTAACAATTCTAGGCTGAGCAGTCCCTCTTCGTCCCTCGGGCTTAGGCAAGCAGGGCTGATGCCTGAAAAGTTCGGCAAGGGACCTATAGTTTGGATGCTACTATGAAAGGCAAAGGCCTCAATTTTAAAAAAAAAAAAAAAAATTCTGCATCCATTGAACTTCTGCCTTACTGTTAAATCGAGGATTTCTTACCAAGAAGTTTCAATCGAAGCTGCAACACTTATTTTCCCTTGACTCTTCCAGCCAGCGCTGCTGGCAGAGATGCCATTCGCAACAGCAAGGGGAGGCAGGGCTCGGTGCTGATGCCACGCTGGCAGAGACAGGCTGAGGAACTCAGAGGTTACGTATATGCAGATGTTTGAGATGTCTGCCCATCTCCCGAGGAATCGGCACTGCAGGCAGGCGGCCTGGGCTCTCAGTCGCTGCCAAAACCCAGGTTTCACTGTTACAGCTCTAGTCTTTCAAAGCCATCTTTTTGCGAGTCTCCTTCCCCCACCCTGTCACGAAGTGGGCTTGACCTGAGGGAACCTGTCACCTCCTACCTTCCAGACTTGGTGAGGACAATAATGGCCCCGCTGCAGCACTTGAAGGACGCTTCCACAGCGCCAACAGCGGCGGCCTCCGTGGGATCACAGTTCAGGGAAGTCAGACGACGCAGTTCCTCAAACAACTGCCTGTGAAAGATGGCGGCTTCGGCCTCCCGGGCAATCTATAAGAGCAACACGCGTTCGGGAAGACAACACTCACGTCAGTCGCTCGGGGCGGCACAGGGTAAGGCGAGGTGCTCTATCAGCAAGGTGTCACACAAATACCGTCAGCTTTTGCCATTAACAATTACCAATTAGCAAGCCCAGATTTAGTTCAACACTAAAGCTGGGGTGATGGCTGCAACGCTCAGCCACCCAAACAGCACAGCCTTACAGAGGAACCATTCGATTCTCAAGGTTTCTTTTCTGAATCGGTGGCACCTACTGAGTCACCTCGCCCTGCCGAGCCCTCACTCAGGTGACATTCATGCCAACTGCCAGGCACTCTCGCTCTGCTCCTGCCTACCTGGAGTCCCTCCCTGCCACAGAGATGAACTCAACTCGGACTGCAGCGGTTATGCAAGGCTGATACCGTAGCAGCAAGCTGCTTACTAAATATTTGCAGTGTTAGAACGGAGCGTGTTTTTACTCATGGGAACTGGCACCAAGCCCCCTCTCTGAACCCTACCTGCCGGACTCGGTCAGAACTATCAGGGCTGGAGCTAAGCACTTAAAAGAGGCCTCCACTGCGCCTACTGCCATGGCATCGGCAGGGTCCCTGTTGTTAACATTGAGGCGGAAAATTTCTTCAAACAGCTGACGATGAAACATTGCGGCCTCAGCCTCACGAGCGATCTGCAGGCCCGAGTAAGAGGGAAGGAGGAGAAAAGAGGAAAGAAAAGAAGGAAAGATATACCAGAATAACATGAGATCACGTTAATCTGCTTAATTGTCATAGTAATGCATGCAAGAGGATATTAAAGGTCAGGCTGTGAAACTCTTTTTGGCTCTCAGGTTTTGAGTTTGCCGATTGCAACCCAGTCCAACATGCCACAGCTGCGCTGGCTGGTCCACCGCGCCGTTTAACTGGCAGTCCCTGGTCACTGGGCAGGCATTTCAAAGGTGGCATTCTTGCTGTACTTTGGAGTCCTTTCAGAGCAGGCAAATGCAGATTGCTTTTCAAGCCCAGTCAGACTGCGCTTTGTTGCAGCTGCTTATTACTTCTTTGAGAGACTCTCATGCCACCTACCAGCCTGCTGATGGTCCTGCCTGCAATTCCTCAAGAGGAAATCTCTGTAGCTCCATGTCCTCCCTTCATACTCTCCCAAGACCACACAGCGCTGCTGGAAGAGTCTTCATGGAGCCAACATGCAAGCAATGCACTTTCAACATCACCCCTGAAGTTGGGGGACTGTCTCTCTCAGCTTCATTAAATTTAGTTTAACTTGAGAGCCAATAAAGATTTAGTTTAACTTGAGAGCCAATAAAGATTTAGTTTAACTTGAGAGCCAATAAAGTTTCACCTCCAAGTGCTATACGAACTTCCCTTTCGGTAATAGGGAAATAAATAGTAACAAGTCTTCCTTATAGGGTTGTCACAACATGTATGTTGGGGTGTTTGTACAGTGCCAGACTTGGACAGACGAGAGGGACAGAGGCACGACTAAGGGCTTTCTGTTCAGGCTAAGCATTTGCAACAAATTCAGTAATGTGTTCATCCCAGTATGCTGGGAATCAGTCGCATTTGAAGACAATTCTCATCTCAGAAGGCTGCATTAGCCCCTGACAACCCGATAAAGAAGGCTTGCAGGGACTAGAAAAGCATGCAAAGGTTGATCGTCTTTTCAAGGACAACTTCATCCAGTTACTCCAGAAAGTGAGCAGCCGCTACATAAAGCGTGACGAGTTGATGTTTAAGCAGAGACTGAAGTGCCATTATAGTGAAAGCTTTGTAGTTAGACCCCTTCCAAATAAGAATTTTGCTACTCTACTGTTAATGAATTATTTTATGTGATGCTAGGAATTATCTCTCTTCCACAGACATCAGCTTAAGCCAAAGTAGTTAAGTATCTTATGTCTACAAATAACAGGACACATGTGAAAGGCAGGAACAGCAGTCCAGTGCCATCTCTGGTCCTAATGCAGTCAGTTTTGTTACTGCTGGCTTTACACTTGCCGTTAGATAAAATGGAAGTATTCGCCCCAAAACACTTACTCCAAACGCAAGAGCTGGTAGCCAGGCAGTTTATCTTCAGCTCCTGGTCCAAAGGCAGGCAGCTCTGCGTAACATGCAGAGTGAACCTGAGTTTAGAGGGAAGCCTGCATTCCCCAGTTGTAAGAGAGTATGTGTACACACATGTCTGCTTTGACAGGGGCTGCAGAAGGGCACAGCAATTCTTAACTCCACATCAGAGCTGGCTTTACTCATACAGAAATGGCTAGAGGGTTTCCAGTTGGTATGCAGGTGGAGATACTAGGGTGCAGGTGGGAGAAAGGAAAACGGAACAGCTATTTAAACCTTGGTCCCGTTAGACAGCATGGCCAGGGCGGCATTTGAAGACAACTGTGGATCGTGGACTGGAATTGGAAGGAAGCCCACTCCCACAAGCAGGAAACAGCCTGCCCGGTATTTGGAAGCTTGCTGCTAAACTCAAGGCACGTGGCATTTTTGTCACAGAGGTGCCAGCTACGGAGGAGCAAGCTCTTTTCTATGAGGCTAACTGGAAAGGGATCACCAAGCCAAACCACTGCAGAGTCCCAGCAAAGCTGCTGGACAGGTCGCAGACAGACAGGTCAAGTCTTTTAGAGAGGTGCAAGGATACCACATAGCGCAGACCCTGATCGTTCTCAGCATCACAGCCCATGTTTGCTGTCTGCACCTCGCTACAGAGGGAGCTTTACTTGGAATACTCCTGTAGCAGCACTGGATAAACAAATATATAAACCCAAACTGATACCCATTTCAGGCCAGGGAATGCATACAGGAGCCGCTCTTTACCACAGGTAAGGTGCTTTCTCCCTGCTATGACCGCTTGGCCACTTCAGATGGAAAGAGTCATCTGCTCTGGCCGTGCTGCAGATTTTCAGACCGTGGTTATTCAGGGCACTATTGCTGGGCAGGGCTTCTCTCGACTAATACCAAGTGAATCAGCTCAGATGAAAGATCCTGACTGTAGGGTGATGTACTCCTACCATCACAGAGTTGGCACCTTGCTGCCTGTGCCATGTTACATTAAATAAAGTGAATCTGTATGTGCTCCTCTGCACAGAGGGTTAAAACCTTCAGTACTTCTGCAGGGGCCAGGCAGAGTGAACACCACTATTCCCAGGTCTGCAGGAAGAGGGAAGCAAATGCAACGGATCCTGAGCTCAGGCTACAGGTACAATACAACCTGCCTGAGTCTAAGAATTAATGCCAGAATGGAAACCCAGGTGTAAGGTTTGCTGCAGCAAGTTTCCAACTCTTGGTAGAAAGTCAACCCTCGTGATTTAGGGGGTGAAAACTGAGGAAGAACCTTTTAGGTGCACCGTTAGTGTTCAGCCTGTAAACCAGCAGTCACTGCCCAGTAATCAAGTCATATTTTGCATTTGCTACATGCAAAAACCACCACTCCATGTTGACCAGATAAAGGTAAAAGATATTTACATAATGCACTGCAAACAAACACTAGCTGAGTTGATTAATCTATATAACCTGAATTGCAAATAAAACTGGTGAGAGTTATCACTGCTGTGATTCACAGCACTGGTAACTGGGGAGAAGCAACACTTATAGATACTTGACATCAGGCTTTTTAATCAGCTGAAATGCGAGCTGGGTGAACTTGAAGCAGAGCAGAGGTTTCTGGCAGTTCAGGCATGTAAAAATATGGTGCTGTCAGTACTCGTGCAATAAAAACACCCCCAATACCAAGCGCACCAGGTGCTGAATGCAACAGCGCTGTAAATCAGACTCACAAGCCTCCCCCACCCCCCCCAGAGGAGTCAGCCGATACCTTTCATTATCTAGAGATAAACTGGTTAAGCAGCTCCTTGACCTTGGAGAAGTTTAAGGCATTTAATATGCCAAAATGAATAGGGCATTTGGAGAAACTCATACCAAGGTAACAGCAAAAACCCCTTCACCCTGGCCTAAACAAAAATTAATATGAGAAATCTAAAGTTTTAGATTTCAGAGCACTGCAGAGCAGTTCTCAGCTCTGCCTGACAATAGTTTGACACAAAGTGAGGTTTCAGGCCCTCAGGACCATGCTAGGTAAAGAAACACCCACAGCGGGAGTGTGAACAAAGAAATCACTTGGACTGCTAGGTGCTGTCACCTAGGACCAGACACATTTAGATCTTCAGGTGCCCGGCTCAGATGGAAGATGCAGGGCAAGAGAGTACTGCTACTTTCACCTGCAGGACAGGCCCCCCCAAGCAGAGCGAAGGCAGTACTCACAGCATGCTGCATGCGCACAGCCTCGAGCGGGTAGTCTCCCTTGGCAGTCTCTCCGGACAGCATGATGCAGTCTGCTCCATCCAGGACAGCATTAGCAACATCGCTGCCCTCGGCGCGGGTCGGGCGAGGTTTCTTGATCATGCTTTCCAGCATCTGGAAGAGAACAAATCCGAAGAAATCAAGACACTGCAGAAGGAACCAGCTGCTTTTTCACTAGTGCACTTCAGTATACTTAGAGATAGGGCAGAAGACAGGATGCAGCCTAAGGACTCTGGGAGGAGAGCTCTCCCACGGGTACAGGACAGGGGCGCCTGGTCCCTAACCAGCTTTGAATTAACGCGAGAAAAACAACCCATTTCATTTTGTACCCATCCAACATTTACTCCTTTTCCAGGGAGATGTAACCCACACAACATCACAGACGTAGCATCTGACTTTCCCATTTAACTTTTCAGCACAGGTCTTGGTCCAAGGAACGCAAGAGCTCTTTGGAGCAGAGTATTGCGTTAGACGTCTTTACAGAAAGCTCAAATCCAGCCACATGTTCCCAAATTAGCATCTAGGGGTTTGGTTTTTTCATCTAGAAATAGGTAAACAGCAAGTAACATCATCTTCATCCAACACAAGATTTCCAATTCTTTATACAATATGTACAGGCTAGTAAACTCAGAACAGCTACCACCACCAGCCTCCTAAGCACCCGCTCTGAAGAGAGCGGAAAACAGGACAGCTTTCCACGAGGTTAGCTCTTCCTACCCGCTTCTCCCAGAAGCTCACACACTAACTCCACACACCAAAGCCTGGCCAGTTCTCCCATCTTCCTCAGGCGTACAGCATTCTCCCCACCACTGGGCAAACATCACTCATTTCCTCACGAAACACCGCCTGAGGCAGCTTTCAGTTGCATTTTAGCAGCAATACAGGAAGAGGAAGGAGCATATGCCACTGTAAATCCAGAACCTTGTCTGATGACTGCTGTCTAGAGACAGTTTTCACTTCCACGGCCTGTGCACAGAGCAAGCATAGGCAGGAAACCAGTCCTCCCAGTGCCTGAGGACTGTCCGCACATGATCCCTACTGGAACCACTGAAGCTGAGCATCACTCCCTCACTAGCAGCTCCCAGAATAATGAGATGGATCTTTTACTCAGTTCCTTCTGATGCTGCAGTGCGGGCACGTTTTGTAAGATACCTGGGAACCTTAGCAAGTCTTCTCTGTTAGACACAAATGTGCTACTACAAGGCAAAGCATAAGCGATTTTTTCCCAGAATTTGTTTAGTCAGCCCAGAAGACTTACACTGCATGAAGTTTTGAGGGGTAAAACACGCAACACGAGGTCCTGTAACCCTACTGGGAAAGATCCCAAACACATCTTTAAAGAAGTGCCTCAAGATGAGCTATTCAGCTACGAGCAAAACCTCTTTGCTCTTGGCATCTCACTCTCTAGCGAACACCATCAAGCCATGACAGTTACTGACATTCGCACCCTGCCAAACTCCGGCAGTTATGAGTTAGCGTTGCGTTTCGAGTACCTGAGTGGCACAGATGATGGGTTTGCCAGCCCTGTTGCAGCGTCCAATCATCATCTTCTGGGCGAGGAAGACTTTTTCAGCAGGGATCTCGATTCCCAGGTCACCTCGGGCCACCATAATGCCATCACTGGCCTCCATGATCTCATCAAACCTGACAGCAAGAGAAGATGTTTGTTACCCCATTTGCTCTGCAAAGCACCTTCCTTTCTGTTCCATCCTCCCCCTCTTAAAGGCAGCATCGCTCTGGAGCGCGACACGCTGTCGGCACACGGGCTTTCCATGTGCCATTTTGGTATCCTGTAATGCCAAGGTAGGAGGAAGAAAAAACACGGCCAAGCCACAGCACATATAAAGTGCTATATAAAGCTTTCTAAAGCTATACAAAGACAGGTCGAGGGGAGCGTGAGTTGATCTGAGATATTTTAGTCTGATAGTGATTCCCATAGACTTGGTGATTCCCATGCTCGCTGACTGCATCCAGAACAAGAACTTTGCTCGAGTTTCAACTCACACTCACTACAAAAAAAATCACAGATTTTTCAGGGATGCAGGGAGATTGTGACACTGTCCCCATGAGCTCAGGGCGTGCGACAGCAACACATCCTCCTGTTCGTACTGCAGCTACGTCAAGTCCCACACGCAGGGCATTAACTGATGGCTTGCGCTACCGCCCTGTTAGTCGGACTAGTATGTTTGCTGCTGCTGGCAAGCCAGAGACCAGGAGTCCTGACTACAGCGCAAAGGGGCTGTGTTGTTCTGTTGATACAGGGTGACAAACCTGAAGTGTCAGCTGCACAAAGCTCACCTGCGCACACCCTCGTGGTTCTCGATCTTGCTGATGATCTTGATGTTCTTTCCCTTCTCCCCTAGCACCTTCCTGACGGCATGGACATCAGCAGCTTTGCGGATGAAGGAAGCAAACACCATATCTACGTTCTGCTCCACACCGAATTTTAGGTCCTGAACGTCCTTTTCAGAGACCGCAGGCAGGTCAACTGCAGCACCAGGCAGGTTCACTCCCTTCTTGCTGCCCAGCATGCCACCGTTCTCGATCTCCGTCATGACATAGTCCTTGCCTGAAACAGATGTGTTCCCATAGTCAGTGTTTACCAGAAAGCTCCCCGCTGCCAGCTCCCACACACCTCCCTGCCTGAGAACAGCAGTGCCAACAGCGACCGCACGTGATAAAAGCACATCGCTGCTCTCTTCAGCAGATTTATGTAACACACAAGCTTGCAATTTACCCATGGGAGCACAAAAGACCGGTTTAAACAGACCACTTCTACGCTGTTCTTGGAGAAGATACCATTTGTTCCATGCAGAAGTTTGGGACTGCCCCCCGCCCCGAAAAGCCACCAGGTTGCATTTCTGCACACAGGAGCCCTGGAATACCAAACTGAGCACCCCAAAAGCCTCACCTCCATCTCCCTACACACTCTGGGATTTGAGGTGATACCTTGAGGCTAGAGCAGTTTAGGCAGCACTATAGAGGGAGTATTGTGGAACTAACCTTGCCCCTACGTTAACAGTTGAAGCTAGTTCTGTCTCTAACCACAAAACTCAGGGTTTATGCTGTAAAAACAGTTAAATCCTGCATTAAAAGTATGAATTGGCTAAACAGGCTTTAATCATGAGCTCTGGTATGTCCCTACCACACATTCACCTTTGAAGACAGGTTTCAGATGACAGCCTAGTGAAACCCAGCCGAAGTTAGTTTTTGGAAACTTGCTAGTTCAAGTAGAGAAAGTTTTGCTCAAAGTCTCACTACAGCATTAAGAACCACGTACTCCTTTTTTAATACACAACTGCAAGCTAAAAAACAGTTACTGGAGCGAAAGCACAAATATGTTCTGAGGAAAAAACAAAACAGGCACAGCTGGAACGGTTGTTACACACCTTTCTCCTTAACCAGCAAGGAAATGAGACCATCATCCACATAGATTTTGCTGCCAACTTCTACAACCTTGGTGAGGTTCTTGTAGTCCACCCATAGCACGTTCTCATCGCAGTTCTCCATGAAGGCATCATCCAGGGTCACTTTGAGCGGTGCACCCTTCTTCAGCTCCACTTCTGCTGTGCCACTCTGCGTGTCAAAACATGCATTTCAGCAAGACCAGTAAAAACCAGCACACAACCACCTCCTAGCCTGCAGCAGTTCATCAAAATTTTTGGTAGTTGGTTCCTTGCCTAGTTTCCTAGAGACTTTTTTTTTTTTTCAAAAGGCCACAGACATAACATGGTATCTAGACTCAGGCACTGAAAAAAGTGGGAGAAAAAAAGAGCAACTTACTCCCTTAATGAGTCCAGTTCGGATTTCAGGTCCCTTGGTATCCAGTGCAATAGCCACAGGTCTGTAGGTGATGGGATCAGAGGCAAAGCTCTCTGTAGCTTCTCGCACATTCTTGATTGTGCCCTCATGATACTGGCAATGAAAAAGAGATGGAAACATTCAAGCCATTTCTACTCCACTGCTTAGGAAAAAGATCACTACACACCCCAAACGCTGCCCAAGCGGAAAGCTCTGCTCTCACGTTATGCTCAATTTCAGTTCTAGCTTGAGAATTTAATTCAGACTGAGCTTCCAGAAAAGCAGAATATGAGGATACAAAGGCCTTACCTACTTGAAAGTGGAGCCCGGCAGCTACCTGGCTGTGCCTTCGATGCCCCCAGTTCTAATCCCAGAAGGACAACTCAAGGAGACAGCCCAGGTGCTCGGCAGAAGTGATTTTCCACCAGGACATACACTTGCCATTTGAAGATGCCCACCAACCAACAGGCCTTTAGGAAGAACGTTTCCGAAAGCTTTGCTAACACCTGCCCATTCAACATGGCAGAACATCGGCAGCACTGGACGATTACATGTGTGGAAAGGCTCCTGAATGCCAGGAGAATGTCACAGCTAAGCCACCGCCACACATGGCTGTTCTCCTCCTCCCTTCAGAGCACAGAAGGGAGGATGCCATTCTCTGCACTGCCGACTCCCCCACAGACTTCCAGCCTGACCCCTCTTAACAGTCCTACAGGCGAGCAGATGGACAAGCTTCTTTATAACTCTTTGGCTTAAATTTCCCCTAAAGATAAAAGGATTTGTTAAGGGGACATTATCCATTTAAGTATTTACATTTCGAGACCCAAAGCAATCGCAGCCAGCAGTTCAAGACTCCAGCACCATGTACCCGGCTTCCAAACTTTCATGTGTGCAAGAGCATTTCACTAACGCTGCCAGTTTCAGGACAGACAGTTCTGCCCGGAAACTCTCATCCCAACTACCTCAAACGAGCTTCAGATGACCAGCAGATCAGTTTACTTTACTTGTTTAAACAACATTAAGAGATAACCTTGACTGCAAGTTGTGTAAAGCTTGACAGACTTTTGCAGATAAGAAATACCCTTTCCCCTCTCTGTGCCAGACGGACGGCATTTGACCTGACCAGGAAACACCTGGCTCCCCCCACGCCACCCATCTGCCTTGACACGAGCCCCGCACACCGACTTTGGTATCGCGGGGACGGTAATGCAGCGCCAGGAAGGTGGGGCCGGAAAAAGCTGTGCTAAAGTTCGTGTGCGTGTCCCCTGCCAGAGGTGCACCACAACTGCTAACTCTTTAGAGCAGGAAAAATTATTTTAGTTTACTGATCGAGTGTGCAAGTTGAGACTGAGAAGGCCCCAACCCTCCCGTGCACTGCAGCCTACAGGGATGCAGTACAGGAAACTTGCCTGAAGGGTGCTATTACGTTTATCTGGTCCCAGTCACCTGCGCTTTTTCCTTTTTAGTTTGATACTGATGACTAACTGGCTCCTAGGGAGTCTGACTTCCTGAAGAGTTACATATGCAGAACAGGAATGCAGGCAGAGCTGGAAGTAAAAGCAGGCGTTTTTTTCTATATAGAAGGGTTGCAGCCAGTTAAAGTTAAACTTTAACTCTGTTAAAGTTGAATGCTTTAGGGTGGACACAAGAACCAAAGCACTCGTGACAGATGAAAACTCTTTGGGGCTTCACTGGAAACTGGAGTGTTTTGGAGGAACCAGGAGGGGACTCAAACTTAAGACTAGCTACGGCTGACAGCCAAACTCAACAGGAGATGACAGCACGACCAGACTCTGCTGTAATCTAACCTCATCTGTATGAAATGTGCAGTTAGATCTCACCCAAAGCAGAAAGCCACAGTCCCTGTCCTCGACCTCAGTTAACAAGTACGCAAACCACAGCAGCAGCTCCGCTGGGCAGTAACGGTGTGAAAATTCCCCGTTTCAGCCTGGCCACCAACTCCCTGCCGAGTCACCAGGCCCAAGAGCCACCCAGCTGCAGCATTTGGCTACTGAGAGGCAGAGTTATTGCACGTTACCCTTTCTTCAGGCAGATTTTGCTAACTGCAGCCTATGCACCGACACTACCCCAGGGTGTTTAGTCAAGGTCTGATGGTTGTCCACAGTTAAGCATCAGACCTTTCGATTTTGACAGTGCCCTGTGGCCTTTAAAGGCCACGAGGGTGAGAGGCCAAGCTGTTACGCACCGCAAGGCTCACGGTTCAGTAAGTAAAGCCACCTACAGCTGCTACTGGCTACTGTCTGACATTTTGAAAGCTGGAGGGCAGCCAGGGTAAAAAAAAAAACAAAAAAAAACCTCAGCTCAGGGTGGCATTCTAGGCAACCTGGAATGGGATCCTCAGCTCCTCCAGTATCGCTGAGGATTTCTTCTATTTATATCAATAAGGGCTTGTCTGCCATGAACAGCATTGACTTCTTTTGACCTCATTCTTACAAGCTCACCGCACCACCTCCCAAGTACTGTGGTGCTAACCTCATGAATGCCAGGAACACAACCGGAGCAGCTGATTAGCCAAGCAAACCCGGGAGTTCGATTCTTTCAACTAGGCACAGTAATTACTTCAAATTACTAACAGTTTTCTTCTGAGACAAAGTTATTCATTGATCGCCCGCTTGCAAAACCCCCAGCAACGAAACAAGCAGCAAGACGAGCAAGCGATAGTTGTGTACTCCCGCAGAGGCGCACAGCAAAACAGGGACAAATGTTCTCGGCTTCTGCTATTAACTGAGAAGCAGCAGTTACAGCGAACAGCAGGACACCAGGGAGAACTGAAGGATTTCACGGCAAGCAGTCGACACACAAGTGTCAAGTATCAGTTACCTGGCTCCCTGCTACAGAGAAGGGTGTGATTTTGAACTGCTTTCAAAACGGCTCAGAAAGCGCGCTTAAAAATGTTATAAGCAATTACACTGGCTCAATATGTTCAACCAGCACACTTTCCCCAAAAGCAGAGCTAAGTTTCGCCTTCCCACACCAAGGCTGGTCTGGACTAAGCTGGATTTCCCTCTTCCATGAGAGACAGGGTCAGCAGGTACACACCGCCCGGTCAGGGCTGTATCAGCTCAGACCCCACCCTTACCTCATGGGTGCCGTGAGAGAAGTTGAGGCGGGCAACATTCATTCCAGATTTAATCATTTCCTTCAGCTTCTCCACCGAGCGGGAGGCTGGGCCTAGGAGGAAGAAATAGTTTGAATATTAACTTTGTAAAAATAATGAGATAACCCACACACGCCAGACTGTTTCATGTGGAAGAGAAAAGGTATAATGGATACAGACTTGCTCAGCGCTGAAGCAGCTCATCTCTACAGTAGTAAAGATTGTTTTAACTTGCCTTTAACTCGGAGCGCAGCAGAACCTAAGCAGTTCTGATTTCCCTGGCTACCAGATTCACTCTTAGCAATAATATGGGCTAGGCAGACATGGGAAAGTCATGTTCTTTCAACACACAAGTTCAGCCCTGGCAAGGGATGAAAGCTGAAGCCTTCCCACAATTTCCCTAACAAGTTTCACCAACACAGAGGTTCACAGCTGCGATTCTCTCCTATCTAGGAATCGCCTACCGATGGTGCAGATGATGCCAGTGTTTCTCGCAATGGTTGGCTCCGAGTCGATGTCCAAGCGGCACATGTGCTCCAGGAAGGTGTCTGCCATGGCAGCGTGCAGCTGCTGGGTCTGGATGAAAGCGGTCCCTGCATCGTGGTGCTTCGACATCGTCACTGGGATCCTGGATCTAGAAGAGAAGAAAGCGGTGCCAGGTTTAGGAATCACCCAAACTTGCTCATCAAGCAGAGACACCAACACACCCACGTGATGAATATGGAGATAACAAGAAAGCTGCTACTGGGTCAAACTATCTTTATGTTCCTACTTGAGAGTCTTAGATACAGGCAAGACACACTTCTATTTCCATGTCATCCCCCACATACACCACCCAAAGCTCACCTGCCTTCTATGCAGATGTTCCCTTCATAGCTTCTCTTCATTGCCAGTCTTCCCTTGGAGCTACACAACGCAACAAAATTCAAGCACTTGAGTGCGCAGGCAGAGATTCTGCCTCCTCCCTCCCAGCTCTCAAGTCATTTTCCTACAGGCCTCAACTGCGTTTCCCATCGCAACTGGGGACCAGGGCAGATCGGCGCTAGCGTGACTGCAGATACATCTTACGCGGGCAATCTTCTGCCGAGAAGCACCTAATCACGGCACAGTCTGCCTAAGCTTAAAACCCATCCTTTAAGCCTGTACAAGCAAGTAGACTTGAGTTGATTAAACACAACACCTGTGAGAACATGTAAAAGACTGAAGATTTCTTTAATATACCCAAGGTCCCTCTTCAAATTGAAGACGCTGGGGGTCTCCCCTGCCCCATGCATTCCCCCTCTCCCAGGGCAGCAGAAAACTACCCCAAGGTTTAAAAGTGGTGGGGTTTTTTTTGGTTTTTGTTTTGTTTTTTTTCCTCAAAGTTTAGATAAAAAAACCTCTCTGAACTCAGGCTGCTTGCCTCTACAGGATTAGAGCATCCCCACAACAGCAGGAACAGCCTGCAATCCCAAGAGGAAGCCGAACTGAAGCTTAACTGTCCACTGGGATGGGCCCAGTACACTCATTTCCCAGCAGCGCTGGTGCCCCCGGGCATTTCTAATTGTGCACCTCAGGCCGCACTGCAATAATTTTGTTCTCAAGTAGCAGTGGCGGCTAAGAGCTGTTTGTCCTCTTCGACCTGCCCAGGCTAGATTGCCGGCATTCAAAAAGCCTCCGGTAAGAGAGTGATGTAAGGTGGTGGCTACTAGCATGGGCAGATCACTAGTTTTGACTTCAAACAGTGGTTTGACTTCAACCTTCATCCCGTGGGCATGCAGGGGATATTCAAAACAGGCTGCTCTTTCAGCATAAGCTGCCTTCATCTCCAAGATATACCTTTAGCGCTTGTGGAAACATGGGCTGCTGCTCAGCTAAAGGCAGGGATAGAGCAGGGGTTTTGTTCTGCCTGCCCCAAGCAGACAAAAAAACCCCAATAAATCACAAAATAGTATTAGCTGCACACACCAGCTAGCTCAGTGTATTCAGCTTTGAAACAGAGGCACTAATAAACCTAGCAGGGCTGACCAGAACGAAGCCATGCCTCTAACGAACAGGCAAAGAGATCCCCTGCCAGCCTGCCATGTGCCTGCCCAGTGCTGCAGAGGCTCTGTGCGCACCGACGCTCCTCCCCTCGGCCACTTCTGCTCTGCAGACCTTCCCCACGTACGTGCAGATCGTGCAGATCCTCTCGCAGGCAGCCCTGACTCACCATCGCCTCGCTCCCATGCGGCATAAAGGAGTCAGGTCAGTGAAAACCATAATTTGTCCTGGCAAAGACTCCTTTCCCTCAGCCCTGCCAGAAGCTGCTGATTCACCGGAGTCAGTACAAGAAGGTCTGCCCACATAAAAAGCCCGACAAAGTCCCATTATTGTAGGAAAACCTACTGGTCAGCCCTGAAACATTGTGTTTTAGCCCTCTAACACTTGCTGCTGCATCCTCCGACACCTGCGGAGCAGTGCCGGCTCCTCCAGATGCCAAAAAGAATAAGCCTTTGCTGGGAAATCGCCTCCACACAAACACAGGTGAGCGGCTCTACGCAGCTTCTGGGAAAGAGCAGAATATGAAACAACGGGATCCCAAGACAGAAGCTGCATCCAGAGCATGACTTGGAAGTTTTTAAAAATAGGCAGGTGAGTTCTCGCTCTCTCATGGAAATCCCTCACCCATTCAAGCCATTTGCAAATATAATTTTAAACCCCCTAAAGTCTTTATAAATACATAAAGAGAAAGGAAAGTTAAGTTCCCAGTCAGAATCCCCTTCACAAGATTTTCCAGCAGTTCAGTGAGCTCAGAAAAATTAATCAGAGACACCGAGACCTTGTCCAGGGGCAAGAGCAGAAACGCAGCAGCCAAAAAGTATCCCAAATACCCATCTGCCCGCAGCACCGTACCCTGCTACCAGCAAACTACACTTCTTAATACTTCCTCCTGCCTCCCATGACCACGTATTTACAAGCCATCGACTGAATTCTACTGGAAGGACCAGTCTTATAAATATAACAGGAATGTCTGGCATTTCCCACTATTCCAGATTTCAAGGACGCCCGAAGACATGGAGCACTCAGTCTGGGCTGAGCGAGGAAGGGAGGTAAGCAATACCCTACAAAGCCTTAATGTTTCCAGCACTGAAAAATTCCTTCCTCAAGGAATAACAATTACATCCTCAAGTTTATGACTTGGACTGCCTGTGCTTAAGGCCGGGCTTGGGCTGCCTGTGCTTCAGGCAGGGCATCCCAAAGATGTCTGGTATCTCCCCGGCTCTTGAATATTCTAGAAAGAGCCGTTTGAGGTCAGGACGACCGGTTTTACAGTAGCGAGGTGACTAACTACAGCCAGCTCATCTTGCGGTCGGCTGAGAGAAACCCTAAATCCACGGCACCTCCGGATCTGCCCTCGGGGACAGAGAAAGGAGAGGCGGCAGCAAGCCCCACCCGGCAATCCCCCCTCTGGGCCAAGCCTTTGCTGTTATCGGTGACAAAGGGAAGTGGAAACTGCAGTGGCGAGGCCTCGCAGGGACCGTCCCCAGGCAGGACCGGCGTTAACCACTGCCACGCCAGACAAAGATGTTATACTGCCTGTAAAAGTTGCAGGCAGGCAGCAGGGAGGCTCACGGTGGGTGACGATTCGGATTTTATTGGTCAGCCTCACTTACACAACCTCACTGACGCTGCAGAACAAGGCTGCTCACGCCCAGTGTCCCCGGCCAGAGGCAGAAATGGTTTGAGTTAGCACTTACATATGAGAAGGCCAGGGTTATGAAACTGGGCAGGCCTTCAGATTCCCTAAAAAAGCCTTGAAAAACATCAGCTTTGTTCATTCCAGAAGCTAAAGGGACTCAGCAACAAAAAAATCCAGCTCTGCAGCAAAGCAGGCTTTTAATACAGCCTGTCAACCCCTCTTCCAGAGCGGGAGGACAACACGTTCTTCCCTCGGTGGCTGCTGCAGGAGGTGGCGTCGCGCCGTTATGTAAGTACAAGATGGCCACCCCAAAATGCCATCTCTTTTCTGCAATGCTGGACAGGACCCAGAAGCCACCACCTGCTCCCGGCTGCTGTACGCTCTCCCCAGCAGCGAGCCACAGCTCTGCGGGAGGAGAGACCCGCAGCTCCGCAACGGAGATGCCTCTCTGGCTTTTCGGCAAACGAGTTATGGGGGCCAGGAAGGTCAGGCCAGCCTGCACAGCACTGGGCGACATCTGCACTTTCCCTGCACGCAGATGGATTAGCCTTGCCTTAGCCGAGCCTGCCCTCCCTGGAGGGCAAAGGCATACAAGAGGCTTAACAAAAAAATTAAGCGAGTTGAGGTGACGAGCATCAGATGTTTGGCGAAGAGAAGGACTTAATCTCGAAAGTATTTGTAGCGCAGGCACACCTACTGACTTAACCTTGCAGCGTGTTGCTCTGACACAGGACAAGGAGCCTTTCAGCCTGGCCCCACACCAGCAGAAGCCACCTAGCTGCCTTCAAGGGAACTGTAAAAATCTTTTTTGCATTATAAAAGAAAGAGGGTTTGGGGTTTTTTTTAAAATGTAAATATAACTCTAGGTGGAAGTATAGATCCCTCTGCTGCATCCCCAGCTCCAGGATGGAGATTTGCTGCGCGCCCAGCTGTAGGTGGCAGCGACAAGGTACTGCAGCCCCATTCCCTACGTGCCATCCATCACCGTGCCATCCATCGGTGCACGCCGCAGCGGCCCCGGCACCACCTTCCCCCGGGGGAGATAAAGGACTAGCACGTGGTCCGGCCAGCCTGGGAGACGTTTTGTTTGTATTAAATTAAATTATCAGCTCGGCATGTGGAAAGGGAATTAACAGTGGCGTTGGATCACTCCAGCTAATGCCAATAAATTAAGATTTTTGTAAAATTTACGACTTTGGGTGGAAAAAGAAGTAGTCGAGAAAAACGCAGGCTGCTCGAGCAACGGGCTCGCAGCCTCCACAAGCTAGTTATCTAGTGAAAGTAAAGTTTCTCGGAAGGGTTTCGCAGGCAAGAGTCCCCGCTTCAAACACGTGGCTCGCAGCAGAGCTTCCTGCCTCGGCAGAACAGGCCTTCGTCAATCTGGTCACGGTTTGGAAATGAGCCGGCATCAGCATGACCCATTAGGCCACCAAACTTTTAACTCCTCCAAATTACCCTTGATTCTGCTTTATATATGGGACGTCAGGCATAAAATTATGCGCTTAGGACTGATTTTTTTTTTAATTAAGCGCTCCTGGTTGCGCAACAAGCCCTCGAGTTTCCCTGGAGGTATCGGGGTAACCAAAAACCCTCTTTGCCATCAACCTTTAGGCCAAGGCAAGTCATGATTAGTAGCAGCCCTTTTCAGGAGCAGGCGATAGCCAGAAAGTTAAAACATTAACATCACAAAGACCTCCGTGAAACACTGATTTCGTTAACCTGGGCCTCGCAGACAACTAGCTGCCTTATCAGAACAAAGCAGGTTTTTAGAGCTTGCCGTCTACTCTTATTAATCTGAGGAGACAGTCGGGAGGTTGCCATTGTCTGCCGACAAAAGCACTATTCATGCCCAGCTAGCCCCGCAAAGAAGGTTTCAAAGGTTTTCACAGTTCAAGAGACTATCCGAATCAATCGGACGTGTTTAGGCAGGCGTAATTACGGGAGCAGATTAATTCAGAAGGGGCCTTCTCTTCCGAGGAGGTGGGGAATAAGGAGGCTGCAGCATCACTGGTGAGTTTAGTGAGCCGTACGCTGATTTAAGCTAATGCCCTTCAGAGCATCGCCGCGGCTCTTACGTGAGCGCAGGCGGGGGGAGGGCTAGGGGGGGCCGGCAAAGCGCCTCGCTCCGTCTCCATCTGACTCAGCCTCCCAGAAGACTCCGGTCCGGCCCCAGCCATCAGGAAACCGGGCGACATGTTGCAGTCGGGGCCCCGCGCACCGTTTTACCGCACCGCTGCGGGGCACACGCCTTCCCC